TCGTAAATGTTGCTGCATGGCCATTCCCATCATTCGAAGGAGGTCTGTATGTGCTCCCCCCTCCTCAATGATTCCCTGTGTTCATGCAAGGCGTAGCCGTAGCCGGCTGAAGCCCCATTTGAGTGGCAAGCAGTGGAAGAGCAGGCAACATAATCGCAATCATAATCTGCTGCATTTTATTTCATTTTCTCGCGTTGGGTTTTGTTTTTTCGGTTTCATATTTTGCTCTTTATGCTTTGCTGCAATTTCTTAATGGCCGCGCCGCAACTGCTGTCCAACTGCCGCAGTTCCAGTCCAGACTTAGTCTCCGTCTCCGTCTCCGACCCCGTCCTCGTCCCCGTGCCCCACCGTTTTCTACACTACATACGAATATCCACAATTCGACGTCCGTCGCACTCTTGGCCCCCAAAAACGCAAAGCTCACCAATCACGTTCGAAATATAAATTGTGGAAATGATGGTTTTTCGCTACATTTGCCAGTTTCATTGTTGCAATGGAGGTGATTGTTGGGCCATGGAGGGGGGATGGAGAGGGGGACGGGGACGGGGACGGGGGAGGGATGCGGCTGAAAACCGCAGACATGTGCAGTTGCAGCTTTCGGCGTGGAAAATTGCGTGCGTCTGGTGGTGGTCAGGGTCTGTGCAGAGCGATCGCTTTTCGGAATGAAAATGCTGTTCGTGCGCCTTGCGCGCTCTTCCTTGGCACTGGGCTTAATGAAAAACAAACGTCCCAGCAATTTTCCAGTTAGGTCAGAGGCAGAACTTTTTTCTTTGCTTTTTTGCGCAGTGTAATTTTTAATGTGCAACTTTAACGAATTGAGTGTAGCTGCAATAAAGAAAACTGCACACAAAATAAAATGAAAATAATGGGAAAAAGACCAAAATGAAATTGAAGTGCACATTGCAGCAACGTTGCGATGAGATGAGAAGGGGCCATGGGGCAAGGGGGCAAGGGGCAGGCCGCAACAATCACAGTTTAGATTTCTGTTTTCTGCTTCTTTCTGAGCACTCCATGGTCGCTCCAACAGTCCGCTTGTCCGCCCGTCCCGGTCGACGTCGCGGTTGTTGTTATTGTTGTTGTTTCTGTTGTTGCTTTTAATATTATTTTGCCGTTTTCGTATGTCTTCGCCAATATTCGCCAAGGTAATAACTCAGGTGATTATAGTAATTATGCGTTCTGACGCGATCCAGCCACGGATAACGCTATTTCGATATAATTGAAAAATGCTGATAGACGCTGATTGTGTGAGCCGAGCCAAAGCAGCGGCAGATTGACTAACTGTCCGGCCAATATCCCAACGTCCCAAGCTCCGTCTCTGTCTTTGTCTCTCTCTCTGGGACACAACCCACTCTGCTCAAGAAGGTAGCGAACACTTTGGACTTGGGTCCGAGCCGTGCCTGCCACTGCCAGTGCCACTGCCACTGCAGCAGATGCCCCAGCGATTTCAACACTCGGCCCCACTCGGCTTCGGGTAATGGTAATGGACACGCTGAGGTACAAACTACAACAACAACAACACCAACAACATCGCCACCAATCACAGTTCATGAATTACATCGTTGCGCGCCATATTGTTGTGGGAATGTCTTGCCATGATTCTGCGATTGTCTGTGGGTCGAGCGGCAAAATGTTCTTTGATGCCGATTTCATTTTTCGATATTGGAAATAACCATGCATTATACTGCTGCCTCGCTCCAAGAGGTTGAAGTTGATGAAACCGCCTGAACCTAAGCCCGATCCCCAACTCGGTGTGGGTCTGAGCGAAATCGTCGTCTTTGTCTCCAGCCCACTGTAGTGAATTCGGCTCACCACCAGTCAGAACCGCGGGGAGGAGAGCCACTGAAGCTGAACTTATCTCGTGACAATCGCACGCTTCGTGCCCCAGCAGAAAGTGTTATTGTCACGTAAATTCAATTAGTTTAATTATGAGTTGCATCGATGTTGGCACCTCGGCTTGCTCTCCGCGTTTCGCAAAACGATTTTTGGTAATTTTCAAAACAAAATTATATTGTGCAAATCGTTATGTAACGCTTTCTACATTTTCCGTGCTCGGGTACATAATGAGGTGTGAAATGGTCGACACTTAAACACTTTAATACTTAAAAACCTATTGCGATTAACTTTAAGGGAACCAATCAATTCATCTTTCATTTTCTAAAATGACTGGTAATTTATTATATGATGTTTCCATAATACACAACAATATCATAATGACATTCTAAATTTGTGGAAATCGTATTCAAGCTAGACTTGTTTATCAAATTTTACGTACGAAGTTCTATGTAGTATTTTCAAATCTAATCTAGATTTATAAATTTTAAAAAATAATAAATAACAATTTTCAAAAGATCTCATATATAGTAATATTCATTTTGGACTTTTTTGGTTTGAGGCTATAAATACCAAGCTGAGGGTTCTATTGGTTTACTACTTGTATTTACCAAGTTATAATATAGGAGCTGTGTGAATTTCAATCCAATTACTTTATTAAACAAATATCTTGCGAAGTAAATGGATCCTACATCATGTTTTGTTAAGTTTCAAGCCCATCCAAAAGAATATTGGATTGTGAAGCAAAAGTGTTTTACTTGAATTGGAGCAGCTTTTCCATTTTAGCTTAATTTTTATCTGACTTCACTGTCTCTGTTAAGAACGTCTGGACCTATGGTAACGAAATATGGGGCAAGTAGAAGCAACGCCGACATTATATAGCGAGCGTAGTCCATAATCCTGAGAACCATTACTGAGGCCTTGTGGTACCTCGGAAACGAGAGACCTGCACATCAAGCTCGTGAAAGAAAGAGATCAACAATCAAAACATCAAATAAAGCTCGGTTCACATCGAAATCCTCCTGCAAGATCTGTAATTCGAGTTTTCAGGCACAGTCGACTGGAGAGCAGCGAAAGCGATATAATTTAAAATTTATAATACAATTCAAAAAATAATTTTAAAATAAACTAAAATTTGATTAGATTGTTAATCTCTTAAAAAAAATAAAGTAATCAACTAATAGGGAACGCATGCAGTCTATGTATTGTTAGGGCTTCATATGTGACTAATTTTAGGGTTGACTGTTGTACAACGATGGGAAAAATAGCTGCTGTGGATATGGAGGGTTACGACCAATAATGGAATTTGCAACTCAAATTCTTTTGACAATGTGTACGAGGTATATGGTCTTGCAACAGTGTAATCTCATTTTAAAGAATAGGAAGAGTTTGACCATCATTGAAATATAGTATAGTTTCTGTGCTTTTTGAAGCCTAAATTATTTTATGATCGGAATTAAATAACTCCAGAAAACGAGGAGTAAACCTAAAAAATACCTTAAATACTAACAAAATGTGTCGTTCTTTAATCTAAAATATCAAATTATAGTTAATGTTTTTTTAAATGCGGAATAAAATAGTATAGTTTTGAATTTATTGTTTGTGAATGTATTCGATCATCGTAATAATAAATTTGGCAATTTTTATATTCAGTGTGCTAGTGGGACCAGTTCAGTTGGGGAAGGGGAAGGAAAAGGGGGACATTTTTTCCGTGGATTAGAACATTTTTATACCCTGTACCCAAAGGGTACAAGGGTATATTAGTTTTGTGCGAGTGCACATGGAACACACAGAAGGAGGCTTGGTAGACCCCACAAAGTATATATATTCTTGATCAGCATGACAAGCCGAGTCGATATAGCCATGTCCGTCTGTCCGTCTGTCCGTCTGTCTGTCCGTCTGTCTGTCTGTATGAACGCAAGGATCTCCGAAAGTATAAGAGCTAGAATAACCAAACTTGGTATACAGATTCTCCTGAGACCGAGAAAGGACGAGTTTGTTCATTTTTTCTGATCCACCCCCCCACTCCCCCCCTATTAACGATTTTCTATAACTCCCGTAATTCTTGGAATTTTGAACTAAAATTTGGTAGTCACATTAGGTTAGTAATTATATAACCGTATACCAAGTCTCATTATGATAGAATGATCGGAAAGAAAGTTATAGCCATATAACCAGGCTCAATGCACACACATACATATGTACAAGTACACAAACACGCATAGACACGATTCTGATGTAATTGTAAATGTATGTATGCATGCATGGAATATTTTATATTTAATTAGTTAATATTTAGTTAATTAATTAAATTAATTTAGTTAATTAATTAAATTAAATTAATTAATTAATTAAATTACTTTTTTGTGGGGTGGTACAGGGTATTTAAGAGTTGAGCCTGCTCGACTTTAGCATTCCTTTCTTGTTTAAAATTTTATCCTAGACTCGAAAGTCCTTGAGGAAAGTCCCATTTTTAGATGTGGCTGTTTATTATAAGTATGCGATGTATTATTGGAATTAAACATTTAGTATATAAACTGTATCTGATTGAATTTTGAATATCCAATAAATAAATTAACTAACCCATCGAAATTGCACACTTTCGAAATTGGAAGGAAATAGGAGTGCAACGGTAAGAGCCATGCCATTAATATTAATTTAAGCTGGAACTTGTGGTTTTGTTCTTGCTGACTTGTTTATTGACTCTATCCTTGTTCCCCTTCTTTTATTTTGCGCCTACTTCTCCAACATCGCGTGAGATTAATGTGAGCGTCCATTATTTTCTTGATAATATAGATTACATGATTTCAATTAAGAACGAATCCATTGTGGCGTGGCAAACACAAATGGCGCTACAATTTGCAAACATTTGTCTTCCTCTTTACACATACACACATATGTATATACATATGTACTAAACTACATACATACAAACATGCGAGTATGTATATATGCAGACTTTTAGGTGCTATAATTTTATGTGCAATGAAATCTGTGGACAGCGTTCAGTGCGATTGGCAGGACAATTTGAATGGCAACGCCCATGAAATTGTGACACACAAGCACATCATTTGCATACACATGCATTCACAGATACAAATACAAACTTGTACATAAACATAGAGGCAAGAATGTCGGGTGTTCATGAAATGGTTGATGGCTCTATTTACCTATAGTAGGGGAATCCCTGCGGCACATGCAGGTCCATCGGCATGCCGCTCGTCGCCAGGTGGTGCGAGTGCGCGTGATGCGGATGATGATGTGAGTGGTGGTGGTGGGCGGCGGCGGCTATCTGGTGGTGCGAATGATGATGCTGTGCCGCCACATTCTGGACATGCGCCGCAGCCGCCGCAGCAGCAAAGCCCGCATCCGAGGCCATCGAATGATGACCCAGCACAGCTGCCCATGGCGAGGCGACAAATCCGCTGCTATGATGCTCCATCTCAGCCCAATAGCTCCTTGCTACACTTTTTCACAAACTCCACTTACTCGTATATTTATTCTATCTTTATTCTATCTTTTTTCTAGCGGATTTTCAGCTGATTTCTTATGCGCACTGTGTGTGCAATTTATCTTTGATTTTATGTCACACTCTCACAAAGAACAACAAAGACACAGACACAGACACAGATATGGACATGGCGGGCACGAGTACTGGCACGGGTACGGTTACGGGTACGCTTACGGGTACGCGTGAGGGCACGGGTACGGGCACGTGTGCACTGCATGCCAAGATGGCGGCCATTATTTACCGTTGGCGCGCACAATTGCCGCGCATGGCAATCAATGGTAGGCGACGACGGCGAATTCGCAAAAACACCAAGAAAAACAAACAAAGCTGAAATTGAAATGGAAATGCCGCACGAAGTGCCGCGAACTTCCGCGTCGCAATGTTTGCCGACGGGCACGGTTACGGTAACGGTAACGGTGACGATGCCGATGACGACGCGGATGGCGCTGCCGGGACTAGAAACACAGTAGTTGTACAGGGCCCTGGGGCCCGGGACTACTTGCTGGCTCTAACGAGCGTCTCGTGCACTTTGCCGTTGGCGTCGGCGCTACCAGGCTGAGGGCTTAAGGTTCAGGGCACCGGCTCCGGCTCCTCTTTTATTCTCAGGCTCGTTTTGTATTCGTTGCTCGATGGCTCGATGGCTCGAACGCGCTCGCTGACGTGGTTCGCACGTTTTTGGTCCGCGTTCACCTCTGCACGGCACGAAAATTGGCGATAAACTATCGCCTCGCATCAGGAAGCATGGTCGGTTGGTTGGTTGGTTGGTTGGTCGGTTGGTTGGTCGGTCGGCCTCCTCATCATCATCTCCTCTGCTGCTCTTGGCTCTTGGCTCTTGGCTCAGTGATGTCCGTCCATCGATTCGGCTGCGCTGCGTTGCTGCCGTTGCTGCTCTTCTTGTTGTTGTCTGCATCTCGCAAATTGTTGTTCTTGTTGTTGTTGCTCATGGTCGTGGCTGTGGCTGTGGCTGTGGAGCGCATTGCACACTGCAAATGGTGGTGGAGCAGGTTTTTGCCTCAAGCGAGCACCAACAACAATAATAGCAGCAGCAGCAGCAGCCGCACCAACCGAGAGCAATCGCAGACGAATGAAGCCTGGCCAGGCAGCGTCGAGGTCGGCAGCAGCAGCGGCAGCAGCAGCGGCGGCAACAACAGCATCCACATCCAGCTACAACCACAACCACATCCACAGTGTTTGGCTTTGTTTATTGTTTTTGCGTTTTGTTTTTGCACTGCGCTACACTGGTCGCTGTTGTTGTTGTTATTGCTGTTGTTGCTGTTGTTGCTGTTGCTTTTATTGCCATGAAGTGTTGCACAAATCGGCAAACACTCTCAGGCACACAGCATCGACGGCGGCTGTCGCAACAAGCAGACGAACGAGCGCACGGGCCCAGAGCAGCAACAAAAACACTTGGCACATGTTTATGGCAATATAAACAACAACACCAACAACAACAACCACAACGACCACAACAAAAACAACAGCAATACTCGTATACGTAACAGTATTGATGCTGCCTCAGCAGCTCAATCGCATTGCAGCGTGCTGACCAGCCTCCTCTCTCTCTCTCTCTCTCTCTCCTTCTCTCTCTCCCTCTCCATTCAGATCCATATCGATATCCCCCCTTCCGTCGACAACACCGACACGAAGCTCTCGAACGGTCCGCGTTTCTGTTGGGAATCTCTCTCAGGTATAAAATAAGCCCCCGCTCGTCGGCAGCGACAGCAGCTGAGCATCCTCGGGAGAATTGCCTGCAGTTCGCATTGAACTCTCCGTCACATGAGGTGCGAGTTTGGTTTGTCAAGGTTTTATTTGGCTTGTCGCTAAAGGTTGCGGGCTATCAGTGGTGGGGTAAGGATATGCGAGTATTGTAGGATCCTGCAGTTGTTATTGTGTTCTTGGCAAACAAGAAGGATGGCATGAAGAAAGGCATACATTTCTACGGTACTTTTGAATAATTAGGTTGAATTTATGCATATATGTAGTTGAATTGCTGAATCCAATTCCGAATCATGGTATATACTTGTATACTCCTTTGTAAATAAAAAGCGTTAAATATGTTAAGTATTCATGAGATCCAAAAATGTTTCAAGTAGTACTTATGGAAATTATATTATTTATTAAATAGTGAATAATTAGGTTGGATATACATAAGTATGTAGTACTTGAATTGCTGAATCCAATTACGAACCATGGTGTTTAATATGAGATCCAAAAATATTTGAAGTAGTACTTATGGAAATTAGCATTAATTTTTAAATAGTGAATAATTGGGTTGGATATACATATGTAGTACTTGAATTGCTGAATCCAATTACGAACCTAGTTTGTATAGAAAAAGCGTTAAATATGGTATCCAAACATGTTTGAAGTAGTACCTTTGGAATTTTTGAAATAATGACTAATTTTTATTCTCTATTTAAGATCTGTCCTAGGAGGAGAATTATTAAATTATATGGTAGCATAGGATTTGTTCAATGAATAATTGCTAGTGCTAACTTTATCTCAAAAATATTGTTTTGGCATTGGGCCCAAGCAATGATATCCTATTTTAAAAATCTGATGTAAGCCAGGTATAAGGAGTATATAACATACGTACACATCTATCAAATTATTTCAAGTCAGATTAAATGTTGTTTAGAGAAACAATTCTTACACATATTTGGATAGCACCGCATGAGTATTAATATAGGAACTTTATTTTCAGTATTAGATTATACTACGACCCTCATTCAAGATATTCCAATCTATTGGTGGTTAATATATATGTATTGTTATAGTATGTGTATTTAATTGAACCTTTCAAATTAAAATTCTCTTAGATATACACAATTTCGTGTTCCACTAAACTTAGCTAAAGTTAAGTAAATGAAAACACATTTTTGATAACCTTCCACCATTTCATTTATTTCATGTATGTAGTTGATATCCTTTTTGAAGACAAATAGCGCACCGTGGAGAAGGGACAGTGGTTTGTAATAGCCGCAATAGAAATCAAACTGACCTTTCGCAAGCCTTCTCAGAACTGCCTTCCTAACTACTAGCATTGCCGTGGCCCTGCTTGCGCCCCCAACCGTTGTCCAGAGTCGGACCCAATACGTATGTATATGCTGACAACTTTGTTAAATAAAGCGCCACCTGTCAAGCGATATTCAATATAATAAATTCGTGATTACACGACAATATCGACAAAAATCGAAGATCAGCAACAATAACAAAAGACTCCCACGGGGACCCCTAGTTGCTTCTGCCGGCCTCCTCTGGGCTACTTGGCACGGCGAATCGCACACGACTTCGGCATGGCAGCGACGCGTCGTTCAGACAGACACAACAGAACGCCAGTGGTTTGCCAGAATCAGAATCAGAATCCTTGGCGCACACAACATACTCGTACTATACTATACTATAGTCCCCAACTTCTGAATCGCATTCGTGCAGGGTCAACGTCAACATTGAACATTGCCTTCGTAGTTGTAGTCGTCGCCGTCGTCGATGTTGTCGTGTGGCTAGGTTGACGATTACTCTCTGAGTCTGTCCCTCCGTCCCTCCGTCCGTCCGTCTGTCCATCTGTCCGTTTGTCCGTGCGTCCCACTGTTTGCTTGTTTACAGTGTGCAAAAATCATTTAGACAAGTTGACAAAAGCTCGTTTGGAACGTGAGTAACATGACTCTGTTGCTTGCATTTGGAATTGTTTGGCCGTTGCTTGGACTGGACAATGGGACAAATGGACGGGTGGTTGGGTGGTGGGTTGCCGGGTTGCCGGGTCGCTCGATGCAGTATCGTTGAAGTCTTAATTCTAAACATGGCAAATGTGGTTGGAGCGTGCTGTCCGCTTCAGAGCACAAAATGAGGCTCGCCTGTTCGGTCGAGCTGACAATTTTGTGACCTTTTGTTGTACAATAATGAAAATGAAATCTATTCTCGTGCCTGGCGACCAATGCCTGTAGGGTAGCGAGTTGGTAGCGGACTGTGTGGCATTTGGTATTTAATGGGTTATTATAATAGTTGGACATAATAGAGGAACTGGAAACTTGCCACGCAAAGGATTGCGCTAAGTTATATGAGAAGCGAGTTAGTAATAAAATTGGTAGCACGAAATGCTAAGAGGTACTTCAGTAGTGCCATCTCTTTAGTTGTTAATAGACCGGCTAATTCATTTTTTCATTCAATGCATAGTAAGGGCTTAGTAAATAAACTTGTTATCACATTAATTTATTGAAATTGTGTAATGCCCTAAAGACTTCGTTTTTTGTTTGCCGTTTGGTCAGCAATGTCTCGACCCATTTATTAAATCAAATAAATCTATTTAAAAATTAAAAAAGAAACCAATTAGCCTTTGGTAGAGATATTAATTTTGGCCGGTAAGCAATTGATTAAAAATATAAGCTTGCTTGACAGACGAGAGGGATTGGCTAAGAGCTGGTTGAGGAATGCTTGCTAAAAGTGTACTAAGTTTTAAAAGCGCATGGTTTGTGTTTGTTAACAAGAAACATGAGTCATAAAACATAACTGAACGATGGCACATACATACATAAGATTAAAGTTGCTGGTGTTACCAAGAATAATACATTTAAACACCAAGTGGGTTGATAACTTCAGTGAAATCTTTAAAAAGGGTAGTCCTCAACCAACCGATGAGTGATACGTTTATTATTATTTTATTATTATTATTAAAGTTGAACGTTAACATCATCACATCAATGATAGATCAGTAATCTTATAAAGTTGATAATAGGGGGATATAATAGGGGGATTATAAAGCAATAATATTTGATATTTAATTTGTTGAATGAACCATAGTTGAAAATATATGTTTAGAAAAAGACTTAATTTTTTTGGTAAAACTGAAATATAATAAAGTGGCATTATTCCATAATATTAAAGAATTAGTTGCGTTGAAAAGTATATAGACAGCCCTGAACAAAGAATCCAAAACGGAA